ATATGGTCGGTGAGGTAAGCCGAAGGTGGTGCATGCCAACAGACTTTGGCGTTATCACGGTCCAAGAAATTTCAGTTGAAACGAAATGAACAATAGAACAATTGACGCTGGTGAAGACGCGTCACCAGAAAAAGCCACTGTTGGAGAAGAAACTCTACCCGGTTTTGAGAAGGAAAACAGTGAAGCCGTTAATGAAGTTACTACCACTGATGTGACTGCTACCAATAATGGGACATTTCCTGATGGAGCAGATGAATTCCACGTAAAGAAGAAGCCAATAAGACGGAGGCCAGTACAAAAGAAGAAACGTCCTGTAAAATTAAGAGACTTTGTTGTATTTTAATCATGTGTTTGTAAATTCTGTAAATTTAATTAAGTTATTGTTGGTTTAATGTAAGTGGCTATTGTTCGGGACGAACAATATTAAGGAAGGGGCAGTGTTACGACAGCGGAGATCACGTAATTGGGGATCTCCGTGAATGTTGGAGATGCCTCTTTGTTAGTATTTAAGCCTGGCAGAGAAAAGCCAGTGGGAGAAGTGAACAGTAGTTACAGTGAGTTCTGTGTAATTTATAATTCAGTTAGTTTCGAGCTAGTGAGCCGTAAAGTGTGTATTTTGCACTCGTAGAGGGCGAAGTTATCGATGGTGTAAATCGCTGTGATTTATAGTGTGTATTATCAAAGTTGTTAAGTTTAAAGTGACGAGAAATGTACTGACTGTGGAATTACTGTGTACTAAAAGTTTGTATCGAGAAAGAATAAATTGGTTTAATCAAAAAAGGACTTGTATCGCTGAATTTCCTCGGAAAGAATATCTACCAGAAATTAACAAACAAGGAGATACTTAATATTTTTAATCTTAAGACCGTATGTGTGAGGAAGCTTTTCTAATCTATTCATCTAAATAGATTATGTTGACTTACTTTGTACAGTTTTAATTAAAATTGGTAAAATCAAGGCAGAGTTTTGGAAATTTGTAAAATATCGGGATTGTGCAACTGGCAGGAAAAAAAATCTCATTAGAGAGCCATAAAGCCTGGAATCTCAGGACAAAACATGGAAAATGGAAACACTAGTAGAGGGATATGTAAATATCTTATGATGCGAATGTCTTTTACAAGCTGGTGAAGCATGCTTATAAATAATTATAATTGTCATAAGATATTAATTTTAGGCCTATTGTATTTTAAATGCTAAATTCTTCAACTAATTGGCCTAGTATAGCCTGGTGGTTAGGGCGCTCGAGTCGCAAACCATCCGTCATGGGTTCGAATCCCCATCACACCGAACATGCTCGCCCTTTCAGCCATGGGGCGTTATTATGTGACTAGTAATCCCACGGTTGATAGAAGAATAGTGCGAAATTCAAAACAAAGAAAGTGTCTAGTCATGTAAAACCTATATTATGCAGTGTCCCACATTAGTGTTCACTGATTTCGTAGCATTTCGCAGTTTATAAACAATAGTGAGGGAGGAATAAGTCTGTATTGAATTAGACGTTCCCAAGTCGTGTACAACGACTGAACACCAACAAAAAGCAGACTTTGCGATTGTATTTTTAAGAATTAAAAGAGTGTATCAGGAAGTGCGGATGTTGGGATGAGTCCGGATCTCGTTTTTCTTTCTTCCTTACTGTCAGCTGTAACTCATAAACCACAGTCCGCCTACTTCCAGTCAACTTCTCAAAACACTTCACTTTTCCCTAAAATGTACCTTTTCAACCTAGAACCCAAGTGACCCACGATAGGTTAGTTACAGCCCAAAATATATGCAATGATATAGATTGTATCATACAGATTGTATTGCACAATACGAATATCATTCAATAGATGGCACTACCTGTGACGCAATTCATAAAACAACAACAAAACTAGCAATAAAAAAATTATTTTAAAATTATTGGGATGTGGGTATGGAAAAGATCAGAAACTAGAGAGCATTTGTGATGGGTAGAAAATCTGCATTTCCCATTCCTGCATTCAACCACTCACACGGTGGATGCATGTATAAGTTAGGTGGTGGAATGCAGGAATGGGTAATGCAGATTTTCCTCCCATCCCGAAAGCTGTCTACTTTCTGATTTTTTTTCATCCTTACATTCCAACAATTTTCGAATACAATTTTTTATTGTTAGTAATAACAGTACTCCAATCACACTATATTCATTCGTTACATCAATTGCTGACAAGGCGTTTCGCTGAATCCAAAGCTCTTTAGGCTGGCTGGAATACAAGAAACACAGTAATGGCCGGAACCCTATTTATATAAGCCTATATAATCTATGTCTTATGTTCATATTACATCACAGTATATATTATAGAATTCAAAATGAAATGCCATAACTCAAATACATTTGAAATAAATAACTTACAGAAAACAAAATCATCATAGACATATTTTGTACAATACTAGGCTTGAGATTTGAAGCAGCATTGTTTGTTTGTCATGAATTTCCCGTAAAGCCACTCGAGGGCTATTAGCGTTAGCCGTCCCTAATTTACAAGCGATATACTAGAGGGAAAACAGGCGACAACATGCACCCAACCACCAGCTCTTGGGCTCCTCTTTTACCAACGAAAAGTGGGATTCACCGTCACATTACAACACCTCCATAGCTGAAAAAGTATTGTTACGTCTCCGTTCGTTAGTTAATTTTCCGTTAAAACTCTTACCGAAGAAACTTTACCGATAGAGTCATTTCTTAAATAAAACTGGTTTATTCTTAATTTCAACAGTCGCGCTATAATTCT